GCCATCACTGTTCAACATTTTGTAGTCCACACCATTGGTCAACCACAGTGGGCTCCATTTAATGGACAACATTGGCCATCACCCCATGAATATTATGCTTATGAGAGGAATCAAACTACTTGTCTCATTAGCAGATGGCAAACAAGACCTGCAATGAACACACTGCTGGCCAAAAACTCATTTGCCACCCACTAGGCAACACTGGCCAGCACCCAGTCACCAAAGGACATGGTTGTTCAACACCCAGTAGACCTCTCTCAAATACCACGGTAGGTCCATTCTCCACTGGAGGCTTAGTGACTAAGTAGGCACCATGCCCAAGACAAGGGGCTCTGAGAGAAAAGGAAAACTAGGTGTCAGCTGGAGCAGCCTCACCTCCAGGTGTCATTGGCCAGGTCGTAGCACTCCACAGTATCTGTGCAGTAGAGCTCCCCTGAGCTGCCTCCCAGGGCATAGATGAAATTACCAAGTGCCACAGCAGCAAAGTAGCTCCGTCCACATGTCATACTGGCCAGACGCTCCCAGGAATCATCCATAGGCTGGTACCTGGGTTTGAAAGGCAAAGGGGCAAGAGACTACCTGTTACCTACAATGCCATGAGCTATGTTGGCACCTCTGAGGGCAACAACCCACCTACAACTTGCCAGTCCCATAATGCCTTGGGGTCACATGGTCACCTTGCATGGAAATATCCCTTCCTTCTGGACAATATCAAACCCATAATGTCCTGGGGCATCTCCAGATAGAAGCTTCCCACTCCTACTCCCAAAAAGCCTGTAACACCCCAGAGTATGAGGGCAACTCTGAGTCCTACACCCAGCCCTTCCCAGAATGTCTTGGGGCCACTTCACCAGCTACAATGTCTTGGATCCACGGGGCATCTCTAGCTCTAGCAATATGTCCCACAATGTCCGAGTGCCACATGCAACTCCAGTCCTCTGTAGCTCTCACCTGTAGACACTGGCTAAGGTGTCATGGACCCCATAGTAGTGCTTTCCACCCAGGACGTAGAGGTTGTTTCCCACCACAGTTACAGCATGACGGAAGCGTGGGCCATCAGGAAAGTGTCCCAGTGCCCGCCACTCAACCTGCTTCACCAGCCCCACAGCACTGACATAGCGGTCTGCAAACCAGAGGTGTCTGCTGGGCTTCCGGGCAGCCAGGTTGTCCTTTACTTTGTCTCCACCACAAACCACCAACACCTCTTGCAAGGAACGTACCCGGCACGGCAGCTGGACCATGGGAGTGAAACTTGCTACCATGAGCTCACGAAGGACCTTTGGGTCAGCTATCCCTGCAGTCACAGATGGGACCTTCTTCAGCTCCAGGCTGGACATGAGGGCAAAGCGAACAGATGACAGGATCTCTTTGGCTAGATCCTCCTGGCCATCTCCATTGGCCATAAGCCACCGAGATGCTGCTTCCAAGGCTTCCAGTTCATGGAGGACATTGAGACCATCAGAGCGGAGGAGGCGGATGACAAGGTGTGCAGGAAGATCCAGGAAGGCCGGTTTAACCACCACACAGGGAAAGGTGGCCAAGATGTAGTTCTCTGCTACATGGACCACCTCATCCAACCCATAGGCCACAGCAAAGGCCAGCACATCAGGGACAGTTTCTGGGGTCAGGCCATGGGTGAAAACATCCAGGCAGAGAGTGAGGAGCCCCCAGGCCTGGTAGCGCAGGGAGGTCTCAGCTGCCTCCAAGACCATGGGCCATGGCCCTGCTACAGCTCCTGTGTACGCAAAGGAGAGGAGGAGATGCAGCTCGGCTGGGGACAGCCCCGTGACCAGCGGGTCGGCAGGGTCATGAGTGGCTTCTCGCATGGGGCAGGTGAAAAGGGCCCGGAAGAAGTCACAGGAGCAGCTCAGGGCCAGTCGCTGAACTAGGAGGAAGGAGGAATAATGGTGGGAAGCAGCAGGGGACACTCTGCAGTTGTGCAGCCCCTAGAACTCAGGTGTCCTGGTCCCATGCCCATTAAAGTCCCAGTTCCACCAAAGGGAGCAGACCTGCAGGCACCTCTAGAGCCCGATCCCCACCTGGAGCTGCAGTCATCATCCCCACCAGAGGACCTGGCTGTCCCAGAGCACCCTCTCTACTCCTCAACCCCTCATAGGGACCCCCACCTCCTGCCCACCTGGGATGACCTCGTTCCCTGCCTGGAGCTGGAGATCACAGCCCACACCATTGGCATGGAGCTGCTCCATGGCTCTTAGTGTCTCCCACTGCTCCTCCAGGGGCTTAGGACCTTCTTCCTGGTGGTCAATCTCCAGACGCAGGGCACAGGCAGCCACCAGCCGGGGGGCACCCAGGGCCCGGGCAGTCTCCTCCACCTCTTTCACCTGGCCATGGGGCACAATACCCCCATAGGCAAAGGTGAGCACAGCCCGCCAGCCCCACAGTGTGGCCCCAGGTGGCAGGGGAACATGGGGTAGAGGATCTTGGCAGAGTTGTCTGGTCCTGCCCTCCAGGAAGCGCTGGAAGAAGGAGCTGACAGAGGCCAAGACCACAGCATGGGCCATGTCACCCTCTGGGCCCACGGCCACATCCACCAGCTGTCCTGTGGTGCGGAGATGGTCAGCCACAGCCAGGAAGTGTCCAGCATGAGCCCCATCCTTCAGGCTCCATTGCTCTGGGGCCGGCCCCTCTGCAACCCACATCTTGCCTGTGGAAACACATGGAGCAGGGTATCAGGGAGCTGTCTCCACAGCTGCAGCCTCTGGCCCATGGCAGGAGTACTGGCCGGGGACATGGGGTCTTGCTACTGGCACTGCCACACAGCAAAGCCACTGGATCCACCACCAAAGCCAGGGCCATCATGCTCTGCTACTGCTCCATTACTGAATTTGATGCTTCTTGGCAAAACTGCAGCTCCATAGGTGAGAACAACAGCCCATTTCACTGCCCCATAGCTGAGCCTGATCTCACCTGCCTCATCTCTGAACCTTTGGCATGAAGCTACTGACCCCCAGCCAACGCTGCTGCCCCACATAGCTCAGGCCACTGTCACCACTCAGACCTTCAGTCCTATAGCACAAAGAACCACACCCTTCCTCAGCCATTGCCCCATAGCTGAAGCTACTGATGGTCCCACAAGCAACCAAGCCACTGGCTCCCAGTGAAGCACCTGCCACACCTGCTCGGTGCATGGCATGCCTGCTGTGCACTGCCTGTCGTGTGTCACACTGCCTGCCTATCACACATTGCAATACGTTATCCTGCTAGTTGTCTGCAATGTTACGTCATGCTTCCCTGCACTGCATACTGTCGAGGTGTGCTATCATGATATTACTGCCACCCCTTGCCCCCACCGTGTTGTTTGTCCTTGCTCAGGCCATGCACTGCAGCCCAGTGAAGCGCTTGCTGTATGCCATGCCCCTGCATTACTGTGTGGCCTGTTATGCTGTGCCGTGCACTTGTCCCCCTTACCGCCTGCCGCTGCTCTGCAGAACTTCTGTGACCCCCTAGGAATGTGCCTGGGTAATTATAGACTGGACAGAACACGTGGCCCCAGCCAGGAGCTGGGAGAGGCTCAGGCAGAGGGAGGTCCAAGGCCCCAGAGTCCCCAGGCTGGGACAGTGGTCACTGAATTCTCTGAGGACAGGCTGCATAGCCAGCTGAAGCTGACAGGAACTCTGTAAACCCCGTGCTACCCTGGGCAGGTACTGCTGGGGATCCCTGGCCCCTCAGGCCCCTCTCTAAACCTTGATCTTCTCCAGAACACAGGGTGAAGCAGAGCCCCCCCCCAAGCCCTCGAGTAGGAAACAATTGCCTCCCCCCCCCCCCATTAGGGGGCAGATAGGTCCACCACCACCTGCTGTGCTCCTGAGAGCTGTGCTGTGCTACTGACTCCCAAAGAGCTGAGGGTCTCAGGTCCAGGAGGATACCAGCCCCTTGGCTCAGCCTCAAGTGCCCCCAGGAGCACCCCGCTAACACCCAGGACCCTAGCAGCCCACACAGAGCACATATCAGAGAAACACAGCCTGCCATGGCTGTGACTGTGTCCCAATAGCACCGTCCCTCCCTCTGCTGTCCTCTAGTGTCCCAATCTCATCTTGTCCCCTCCCCTTGTACCCCATGTTGCCGTCTCCCACGCACCTGCATCCCCCATGCCCACATTCCCCATCTCTAACTCAACACCTATGCCCTAATGTCCCATCTCTGTACCATACGGTTTCCCACATGTCCAGTTGAATTATGTGTCCCCAAAATGTTCTCACATCCTCTATAAGTCCATTTTTCAGCACTCACCTATCCTGCTTGTGAATTTTTTTTCTGTCCAGTTAGAATTTCCCTATCTTGTTATTTCCCATCCTTCACTGCATGCCTCAGCCTCCACTTTCTGTAGCCACTAAGTAGTGAAAAAGTGCTATCACATCAAATCTTGACCTTTTCTCCAGGCAAAATGATCCAGTTCTCACCTCTCTTTGTGCATCCTGTGCCTCCATGCTCTCCATCTCTGTAGTGGGTTTGCAGGACACACTTGTTTGTTTATAGAAAAGTCAACCAGATATAGCTATAAGCAACCTGCTCCAGTTCTCAGCTGGCATTCAGGGGTCCTTTCCAGCCTCAGACATTCCTCACTTTCAACCCTGAAGCACTTAGCTCTAGACCTCATGAAATGCTTTTCACAGAAAGACCCCAGGCTCCCAAACACGTTGTGAGCAAACCATGACTTCTTCCCTACCCCACCTTCCTTATCTTCAGCTCAGAGCCAAGCACTTCTTCAGAAGCTTTGGCTCCAGACCCTCACTGATAGGCTCAGTGCAGTGTAATCCCCACATTTTCAAGAAGGCCCACAGGGCCCACTCAACTTCAAGAACCTCACTGAAGCTACAGTGTAGTGCTCACACTTGAGCACACAATACTGAGACATGGAGGCAAAGTAACTTGTGCACAGAAATCACAGCCAGACCAGAATATGCTGCTTCCTTTTCAGCAGCTCCTGCTTTCTGCACCTCAGCCCAAATGCCAGGAAACAGCCGCATGACACCACCATGTTGTGACAATTGCTGATTGGACCAAATCTTTATTACATGACATCCTAAGTACATACAGCGTTTGGAAGCCAGCTCACAGAGGGAAAGGTGACATTTACAGCTTGGGAGGTCCGGTCAGCCTCCAGCCCTCCTTGTTACCGATCTTCATGAGAGCTGCAGTGATTCCGAGCCCCAGACATGCTGTGGTGCCAGTGAGGTAACTGTGAGCTGAAGAAAACACATCAAACCAGAAAAGATCCATTAAGGCGCAAGTCCTTTGCAATAGATTTTGATAGACTGGCATTTTTCGTAAGTCCTTTGACCATCAGCAACATTGTGTGGCCAGAGGAATTGGAAAAGTGACCTTTTTATAAAACTGAGTTCTCATGCTTATGGCTTGCAATTTGAAATATCAATTTCAGCAATCCACTGCCCCATCCCCTTAAGTGGGCAATCTTAAATGGCTCATTTGAGTGACAAAAATAATAACCACTGCTTTGAAATCTCATCAGCTCAGCAACTAGGACAAGTAAACATTAATTATATTTCACCACAATTACAACTTTAAAAAAATCCCTCACTTCTTTAGGTTTGAGGATGAATGTCTACAGAAAACAGATTGTGTCAGTATCTGCAGGAGTGCTTAAACCTTACAAAGGGCTATAGGAGCAACAGCAGCAAGACACAGCTTGTCCCTCAGACTATGCAACAAATTCACAAGGCAGATACTAGATTGCACTTGCTGTCTAAAATTAATCACACTTGTTGCCAAGAAAACATGGATTTCCACAACTATATTTTTCCTATCCTGCAATTTTAAGGTCTAATTGGTAGCTCTAACTGGCAGTACTGAGTGAGCTCTCTTTTCATTCTGTATATCACTTCATGTCCTATTTGGTATTCTCCCCTCCTGCAGTTGTATTTATTTTAGCAGGCCCACACAATGCCAATGAAACTGGCATGAATAGAGGCTGAGATGAATCATTACCAAAGAAGCCTAACATCAACATTCTTTAACATTTTTCTCCAATTGAAAAGTTTCTAACACCAGCAAGGGCACATTTCAATGCAGGCATTGTCCACAGTTACCTCTCACTCCCAAGACAGCTCCTGCTGCACAGCCGCCTACGAAATAGTTCAAAGGATCCTCTGGTTCCTCCCGGACTTGGGCACTGAGACAGGTACTCAAGCCAAACACAGCTCCCAGTGTAGCTGTAAAGAAGTGAAAAAACAAAACCAAAATCCTCAAGGACCAGAGAATTCACACTTCAATATTCACAGTGACTACAATGGCAAATGAAGTTCTGTTTCCCATTTCTTAGGGACATCCTATCCCAGCTGCTACAGTGAGACTCAGCATTCACTCAGTCCCACCCAGCTTCCCCGGGTTTCTCCCCCTGCACCGCTGTGAGCTGGAGCCTCAGAGCACCCCACACCCACTGCCACCAAACAGCACCGCATGCTGATAGGGTACCACCTAACAGCCCTTCCCGACAAGGCATGGGGCACCCCTGACAGCTGGGGGTACTGGAGGGGAGCAGTGCTGTCTGTGCAGCCACCTCCCCAGCTTTGCCTGGACTCTGCACTGTAACTCAGCCCTCAAGTCCCTGTGAAGCCACCTCACAGCACCAGGCAGGGCAACCCCAAGGGCTCTGCTCTCCCTATACACTGCTAGTCCTGGCACTTTCCTCCTCTGCCTGCCTGGGGCTCACAATGATTACTGGATAGTAGGAAAATGAATTGAGTTTGTAAATTGTTCTTGTTTGTAAACTGACTTTGAAATGAAAATTTTTGAATTGAACTAAGAAAGTGCAAAGTAGAAGCACCCTGTTCACTGAATTACACACTTCGCCCCATCAGACCCTACACTGATATAACTGCAAACTTTGGCAAAGAGCTGTGTCAAGAAAAGCTGGGTTTGTATCTAATACAAACACTTGATCATGAAACATGAACCTGTCTACCAGGCAGCATCTGCAGATTTCAATTCATCTTTCCTGGGAACAACAAGAATGTCCAGGTTAAAAACTTTCAATCCCTATATAAAACCAGCAGCTCCTGTTACAAACCTATGCAGAAAATGAATTAAGCTGATGCCAAAATCAACTGAAAAGAGCACTGCAGAAACAAAACCCCCACACCTAGGACTGCATTGCAACTTTCCTGCTCTCCCTGCTTTGGACCAAGGCATCTGTAGGCAAAATGCACAACTTGAGGCCATGAGGTGTGGTTCCTGAATGGCAGACAGGACAAACCCTTCCTCAGGTGTGAAACTGGTAAGAGGATCCAATATGCCTGTTTAGGATTAAGGGATTTATTGAAATCACAGTTCATTACATGATCCAGTGCCTTCGTAATGACCTCAGCTCTTTAGAGGAGATGCCAGATCCTGGATTAGAGTCAAACTACTCACAAACACAAACCTGGACTGACTGTGCCCCATCTCAGAGCACCAGCACTTGGGGAGAGGCAGAGGTGGAACAATCATTGAATTATACTGAAAAGCAAAAGTCTGCTAAGAGAAAAAGTGCATTTGACAAGCGACAGAGTGAGCTTCAACCATGCAGCCCCTTCAGCTCCCTGCTTCGCTCTTCAGCATCCACTTTCAAAGACAATTCAAGACAACTGCATAGTTTCTCCTTGTCTATAGAACACGACGGGGAAAACCCCACGTTTGTTTTCCCTTTGCCACCAAAAATATTGCATTGTTCTTCAGCAAATGTACTTTATTAAGTACAATGCCTAAATATATTAAGCAAAAACCTAAATTTGCTTATACTATGTTGTTGCCCACAAACTTAATGTTCTAGAAATAAAAAAAAAACCACAATGTACCTTTTACTCTATATTGCAAAAAATATGTTACCTCACCTGCAAATCAAGGATATGTCTTTCCATTTCACTGCTCTGTCTCTCGGCTAAACAACGACCCAAGACCGGTGGAAGAGAGAACCACCGAAACCGTGCAGGGGCGGAGGCAAGGGCAAAAGTGAGGGCGCAGCCACACCGGGCACAGGCAAGGCTGGCGTCCCTGCGGAGTTCCATCCTACAGTTACACTGCCGAGGGGCCCGGCCCTTACCCATCGTGACACTGTCCGCCGCCGCCGTCTGCAGTGCGGCCAGAGCCGAGCCGGGCCGCAGCAGGATGATGCGATACGCCGCTCCGACCAGGCCTGCAACACAGCACTACGCGTCACGGCCCGGGCCCGGGCCCGGGCCCCGCTCGGCCGCCCCCCGTGCGCCTCCCGCCCCCCGGCGCCCACCCGCGGCCGCGCCCACGCGCGTGGCGAGCCAGGTGCGCTGCGGGCACTGCTCGCCCTCGGGCCCGTCCCAATAGCCCGCCATGGCGACAAGGGCACGAGCGAGGTATCGCGAGAGGACGGCGCGGCCCCGCCCCGCAAGGGGGTGAGGCCGGGGATGGGCCCGCGGCCCCGGCGGTGCTGCCTCACGCTCCCGGGCTGTTTGCCTAATCCCGGGCTGTGACCCTACCGCCTGTCCGTGCTGGCTGCTGCCGGGATGGGGAGATCACTGTGGCTTTGTTTTGTTTTGTTGCGGGTGTTTTGCATTTTTGTGGGCCAGGGGTTGTGGTTTTTTTTCTGGTTCGTTTTTGGTTTTGTTTTTAGTAGGGTCTACAACTCTTACTTCTTGGCGCTTGAAATATTTTTTAATGAATTTTCAAAGATTCTGATTTAATTCTCTGTGTCTATACTGCTGTATGGTTCCTATTTCCTTCTGAAATAATAAAGATGCTTTGACATAGGTCATAGAGATGCTGTATACATTGATTTTTCCAGGTGTTCATAGTACACTAACAACAAGACAACTCTCTACTGTGCCTTCTTGGTGATGTATGGAAAATCACACAATGAAAAGCCAATGTCTATAAAGGAGACTGAGGAATCCTGCAATTTTATTTGAATAAAGGGAGAGAGTCCACTGGGACACATGCCCATGGCGTTTTTTCTCTCGAGGTTTCGGAGGACACAGGTTCCTTTTATCCCAAATTCCCGGCTGCACGTTCCCCTCTTCCTTTTCCCATTGGCTGCGGTACTAGGAAGGTAGAGCCTTCCCAAACCGCCTTACCACATATTTCCCCTTGAACCTGTCATTTTACCCCAAAGTTCAGAAGTTCAGGCTTGTCCCCCACTTGTCTGTTTCAGGAGCTGGGCTGTCTGGGCTCGGTAACAAGCCTGCTTGAAGTTAGTAGAGACTTTAAAGACCCATTTCAAAGATGTTAACACCCATACTCTCACCCATCGAATGGGTTTGTAAAGACATGCATCTCCCCTATCAGTGACATCCCTTCAAGCAAAGCTATTCCAGTTGTTTTCCTGACTCTTGAAATAACTCCAAGATCTGAGTGAAGTCTACAACTGTATCCTTGTTAGCTCAAGCTTTGTCACCTCTCTACCTCTTTTCCGTGTGTGTGAAAAGCATATAAAATACTTGTTTTCTGCATTTTCCGATATGCTGAGTCCCCCACAGTATCTCTTTCTGATAGGAGCTCAGAACAGCTGGAGTTGGATGCTACTGCTCCATTATCCAAAGGAATTTTCTGTAGTGCTGTATCCTGCCAGCAATAAAACTGGAGCTTCGTGAGCCCAGCAGGAGAAGAAGGAGAAGGAGCATGGCCAGGGTTCAGTAGCTGCGCTGTGCTGTATCACACCGGAGATGCTGGGGTGCGCTCACAACGCGGCAGGCAAACCACCTCCCTTCCAGAGCTGTCTCAGTGCCAGAAGGAGCGGGTGTGGAGGGCATTCACAACGCAGGGCCTTCCACTGGCCTCCAGCTTGGTCACTGCTTCCTCTGCGTGCTGGAGAGCTAGCTGTTCTTACACACAGAACCAATGCCACCATCAAGCACTCACTGGTGCTTTAATAAAGGACGCAGTTTTTAGAACAGCTTTACCCCTTCTCCAAAGCTCTTCCTCAGCTCACCAGATGAAGGGCTGTGTGACCCTTCCAGACAGCAGGACAGAGAAATCGGAGAAAGCACATGCTGCAAATGTTCTCTCCCCAATAAAAACCATACAGAAGCCACTGAATCTTGCACAGGGCAAGACTCTACACCATTAAGTAACAAATAGTTTTCTGGGATCCAAGCAGCTGTTAAAAGGTCTTCTGAGACTATATCCCATGCAGCAGATTCGTAATACATCTTCTACTGACAAAGGAGATGGGACAGAGAATTCACATATCTCCTGCTTTGCAGCAGGTACAATGCCTGTAGCTGCAAGACTCAGCACTCTGGTGTCTACAGCTTTCCACTTGCCTCGTGGATAGACTGCAGCTCACCTGCTGCACACTGCTGGTAGTGGTTTATTCAGCAGATACAGATCCTTGGGCTGCAGACCCTCCCCAGGCATTCAATGCTGTTAAGAGAGCTACAATAAGAGAGAACTTTCCTATAAACGGACAAGTTCCAGGGAAAGCAATGCATAATTAATGTAACATTACTCCTAAAACACTAACTTGGCTCCAAATGGTTTTACTGCTGATACAGAATATTCATTCCCTTAAACAGGGAGAGGGGTTTCCCATCGTATTACAAGCTGCAGATAACTGTGTTATAGATGAGTAATGCGATGGTTGACTCTCACAATTAAAGAGCAAATATGATGTATATGTTAAGAGAAGTTTTGTAGATGTATAGCTATGTTTCTCCCCCCTTGCATTGTTATCACAGTATGGCCTGGATAGTCAGGACATTTGGGAGGGTCAGCTTGTTACTATGTGTGAAAAATGCATATTATAGGATTGGCTCTTCACAAATATTAAAAGGAATACTATATGTGCTATGTTGGAAAGTTATATTGTAATTTTTATTTTTTGTAGTGCTGTATTAATCCTTTTAAGTAGTGTGGTAAATATAGTTTTAGGCTATAGCATAATATTAAAATAGAAACTACGTAATGTAAGATACTTTTTGTAACTAGCTCAAGGAATGGATAAGATAATCAAGAAATTCTTCACACAAAGATAACAGCAACAAGACACCAAAATCCCAAGAGAATAATTATTGCCTCCTTATTGGGAAAAACCAGACTCCTTCCACATCCTTCCAGACTCTGAGGAGCCAAACAATGATTTACAAGATGAAGGGGAGGAAGTTGTCAATAAACAGACAAATCCCTTGTTTGCAAGGAATGTTTGCATCATGTATGAGATATATGAATATGCAAGGAGCTATTGCTTTTAAGGGCTAATCCTTTGTTAGCGGTTATGCTTTTTGGGGGCTTAATGCCCAGGAAGCATCCAGACATCTGTAACACTTTGCTTTTTTATTGTCCTTTATTGTTCTAACTCTGATTGTCCAAATTCGTATTGCTCTAATTGCTATTATTATCTTATAATCATTTTTATAACCATTTTATTACTATTAAACTTTTAAAATTTTAAAACAAGTGATTGGCGTTTTTCACACTATGGTAGGTACCTGACCTCCAATCAAGATGTAAGAAAATTATCTCCACCACTGGACAGTGAAGGAGGAGTCAATTGACAAAATGTTGGGAGCGGCTAAAGGGTTAAAAGACAGAACAATCCATCCATTGTGTGGATGAGCAGATGGTGATAGAATCCTTTGCTCCTGGCACGCTGTATTATTTTCTTTATTCAATCTTCCGCTGTATTTTTTAATAAGGTTTTAATAAACCTCCTAAATTTTTTGAAAGTGAGTATCATTTCTCACAATGGGGAGTGGTCTGGGATATACGCCTTGCACCAGTGGCCCTAGGACTTTTCAAAAGAAGCACGCCCCTCCCATAAGTTTGGCAGATTCTGTCACATTTTCCCAGGACTACCGGTGGTTGCAGGTTGGAACCCTGAAGACACCAGGCGACTGAATAAAGAAAAAAGGGGAAGGGGAAGTGAGTATCATCCTCATAACTATTTTTGCCCAGATTGTAATTCCGTAATTCTAATGTATAAAAGTCAGCTTCAAACAAGTAATACATAGGACCTCTCCTAGTCTGTTGAAGCCTCAGGATATTGGACAGTCAGAAGGAAAAAACAGTGGTCCACGCAGGGGGAAGAAAAAACAGCAGGACACATGGGGCGAGCCCATGGAGAAGAGCCCTGAGGCTGGTGGGACACGTGAGATTGAAGGATTTTGGGGACTTGGGAGCGGGGCAGCCGCTAAAGGGTTCGCGTCAGGGGATGGCCATCAGGGAAGACTGTGCTCGTGTCGGGACGGGGCTGCAGCTGAGCGGAGCCAGACGGGGCAGGGCTGCAGCCAAAGCCGGATCAGGCCAGGAGTGGGGCCGCAGCTGAGCTGAGCCAGGCAGGACAGGGAGCAGAGTGCGACTGTGGGACCAGAGCATTGAACTGAGGAGGAGAGGAACCGCAGGGAGCAGTCTGGTGATACAGAAGTCCCTGGATCATAGGTGTTTCTTCTACTTTTTGGAAGAGAGGTTAGGCTTTTTCTCTCTCTTCCCTTTCCTTCTCTTTCCTCCTTTCCTTGTTTCCTTTTTTTTTCCCCCCTCCTTTCTTTTTCCTTTCTTAGGAAGGTGGGCGGGACTTGCTGGGAGGGCCTGTGGTTACCTGTTGAGATGGGACTGAGAACAAGCAGGGAATTCCCCAAGGAGCTAGGAAGAAGTGAGGAAGTACCAATAGGAACACCCCCAGATAGCCCACTGGGAAGGAAACTAGGCCAGTGGAAATATGACCCCAATACCAAGATAAGGACAAAATCAAAATGATTCAGTACTGCATGGTAGAATGGACTGAAAGAGAAATTAGGAGCAATCATGCATACTGGCCGAGATATGGATCAGATGAAGGAAAGATAGTGTGTTTTGTAGTGTGTTTTTTGTTTTAGTAGTATGCTTACTGTTTGATTTGCAATTTTATAATTTCCTTATGCTGTCTTTTTGTCTCTGCCCTTTTCCCAGAACTTTCCTTACTCCTCCTTTCATTAAATGCCAGTTTCTCCCCAAACCTGCCTTCCCTTGAGAAACTTCCCTGTCCATTTTGTATTTCTCCAAACTCTATTAGTTCACTGAAACTGTTCTCCTCCCTTGAAATTCGTTATTGGTTTATACATTACATTCCCAGCCTTGTTTTTCACTCCCAATTCTCCAGATTTGTTAAAGATTGTATCCTCCCCTGAGACCTGCCCCCATATATAAGTCACTGTCTGCCCCCAGTTCAGGGTCCTGGGACGCTGAAGAGGGGAAGTTTTACCATCAAATAAAGTTACCCCAGGACCCGTGGTGCTGCTCTTTGTTTCCATGCTGCTGGTAGCTGGGATTCAGCGGGGCTCAAAGCAGGAGTCTGTCGCCCTCCCTGTCACCATCCAGCCAGGACAAACAACAGGATATATCGGGCATAAAACATCTATATAAGAGCTAAGAAACCATTCAGTCAGGAAGAGAGTGACTACGCTGCCTGCTGGGAGGGGGAGACTTCAACCTCAAA